CCCCCCCCCACACTCACACACAACCCCCAGCACCACCCCCACCCCCACACAAATTCTGATAGAAATGTAACCTTTTCCCTGGGAAAGTTGAGTTTCATAGACATATGACCGTGTATTTTGGGCCTTTTGAAAGACATGCAAAACAATGTCAAGGAACTGTATTTTAACATGGGAGGGTCTATCCCATTTTAAAAAGAGATAGTTTGTCTCATACCAGAAGATGAAGACTGCCACTCATAATTAGCATCAATACATCAACTACCTCCACCTTGGTACTGACCACAATCTTTTCTTTCTTTGAGGCCACAGAGAGTTTTTCTTAGCACTTTTGTATGATCCATTTCTTTCCAAGAATTCCTATACTACTTCCATGTTTTGCTCTAACAAAAAAATAACTGATATTCATAAATGTCAGCATTGATTCTAATGAGTCATTGACTGCACCTCTTTTTGATGTGATCTGAAATAAAATGTTGCAATATGTCCCATTATTACCCATCATATATTTGGTGCATGTTCATGAGTTTTAAGGGCTAAATAATTTTGACAAGTTCCCACTTCTCCATTTTCTAGCATTCCTCATTGAGTTGAATGTCCCATTATAGATATAGGGCTTTAAGTAATTGTATTATCTAAGTACAAGCTGGTATATCTTGTGGAAGAGAGGGATTTCTTGTTTTTGTTGTTTTGTTGTTGTTTTGGTCATCTTTTCCTGCAAGTACATCTGCCTCATTTCAAAGATAAGTTTCCTAATCACCCATATGTATGATATGTATGAAGAAGAATTGCTTGCCTGGTACTCTGGGACTTAATGACCCCATTGTTCATTTGTGGATTCAATGACCCACCCTCTTCAATGACCCACCCTCTTTTCTCATAATGTGCTCATTCTGGTGGGTACCAGCAGTTTCAGACTGCTGCATTGGGAATAGTGAAATGAGGATAATCCATATGCAGAAAAATTAGCAGTAGAGGTGCATCTAACCCCAAAAATGTCTTCAGCATAAAATGTTCCTAATGGTGATTCTGCACAAGTATATTGCTCATATGTATGATCATTTGAACAACCACAGTTATGGGAAAGCAACCATTTTTCTTAATAAGTCAAGCTGGAAGAACCACATTATACAGTTAAAATCACAGTATAAGTAATAGCTCATAGGAAATGAGTTACATTTTTTTTTTCAACTTGTGGTAGAAATGTTTCTGTTAATACTGTTTCAGGTTGATCGTCAATCCCAGTTCATTCAGGGTTATAGAGTTATGTATCGACAAACATCAGGCCTGACTTCCCCTTCTGCATGGCAGACTATGGAAGTCAATGTTCCCACAGAACGGAGTGCTATCCTTATCAATTTGAAAAAAGGGGTTACATATGACTTCAAAGTTCGACCATATTTCAATGAATTTCAAGGGATGGACAGTGAATCAAAATCTGCACGTACCACTGAGGAAGGTAAGTAAAATTATTAAAAGACTAATCATATGCTTGCAATCATTTAGTGTTCTATGCTGCTGCAAATATGCATAGAGTTTTGCACAAGCAGAGACAATAATATTTTCTTCATGGTGCGTATCATTATAAATATCAGCATTTTACAGTAGACAACTGCAGTCACTGATAACTTTGTGATTGTATTAGAAGACAGCCGTATTTGGTTCTTCAGATCTGGCATCAGCATCCTCTTGGTACCTATTTGCTGGTTCTTTTTCTTGTATGATAGCCACACAGGCTTGAGTTAAGGGGACACATTTTTTTTTTCTGAGCTTCACAGGGCCATTTGATCCCAGGAAAACAAATCAAAACAAACAAACTAAACAGCATAAACTAGAGTGATCAAAGGATTAGATAAACTTCTTTATGAAAAAATGTTCTGGAACTTCAGATTTTTTTAGATTAGAGACAAAAAGTTGATTAACGTAAGAATATAATTAAACAATTGTGAAAAGTGTGGAAAAATGTTAAATATTTTTTGTTGTTGTTCCTTTCCATAATAGTACAATTAGAATTACAATAAAATTAATTAACAATAGTATCAGGATTGATATTAAAAATCTTTCTTAGATAGTTGTATTATCTTATCAGATTCAGTGCTATAAATGTGATAATGCCCACAGTATTAGTTAAGGTTGTTTTAAAATAAAGTACAGATCTTTGCCAAAACAAGTGTTTATCTGAGCAGAAGTTTGTTCCTAGTACATTTTTTTTTCTAATTAATTTTGGAGAGTGATGCATGTTCTTTAACTCTTGCTGACAATACCTCAAAATGATAAATGTAAAGATACTATATTAAGGTCTGGACATACGTGATTATACCTTCCTCATCTGTTCTCTGGCAACCTAACATCTTAGACTGGGGTAAGGGGATATTCTGTCTTTACTTTGCACAAAGGATATAAACAGCATTTTTTACTAATAATATTGTATGAACAAATAATATAGTGTAGAATAAGTTATGTACTGCTCCATGGTTAATTACAGAATAAGTGTTTAGTTTGTCACAAGAACTATCAGTGTCTTTCTTTTCTTTTGTTTTATAAATACTGGTTGTCTGCTTTTACTTTTTTTTCCTGCTTTTCTGCTTTGTCCAACTGTCAACTGCCTCTTATCTTTTCTAAGTTGTCCTGTCTTGGCTGCCTTTCTTATAAGGAAGTGATCACTTAACTCTTTACTTGCATCTTAATAGAACAACAGAATTCTTTTTCATCACAAAATCTATGAATAGCTATCAGCTCGAATACCTAGATAAAGTAGTTTGAATGCCAATTCTTAAAATAAAAAGGAGATGTCTCTCTAATCCTGATGACATCTGAATGTCAGCGTACAAATACAGTAGATCCTGATCTGGATGGGATATGGAGGTGCTCAGGTATTGTGATTTTTATGCTACTGTGGAATGAAAACCTAATCCTACATAAGAAGCAGAGAAAAATATAACCTAACAATAATCAAACAACTGGAAGAATATCATATTTTAAATGTGCATTTATTTTCATCTATTTTTGTGTATGAGCTCTTACATTAAAAACTAAAACCAAAAAAAATTGTTTTTGTTGTTCCAAATCTGTATATTATTTGAAGAGTTGGTTCATTTTCATTGTAACTGCTGTTTTCTAGATGAGTAAAGCAGGTAATCTCATATTGTTATAGAGCAAAGCTTTTTAGGAATCCCTGCGTATACATTAGATATGTTATACTCACAGTCCCCAACTGTTGTGATATTAATGTAACCTTCAGCCACTCTGCTTTTGGGTGTCTTCTTCATTATAACAAAAGACTATAACAAATTGTACTGTCAACAGTTAAATGTCAGGTACCAATTTTTTTTTAAAAAAAAGCTTGCAGTATATCTGTTTGTATAGTAGTATATATTTACATGTTGTTGTTGTTGTTTTAAAAAAAACTTCATTCAACCAACTATAATTCCATGATAATTTTTTTTTTTAGTTCTTTAATTATCTTTGTAATTATCTTGCATTTATAATTTTCAGGCAAAATCCCAAGTAGATTTTTATTGGAATGAATATGGTTTTCAGAAAAAAGAGCAGTCTTTTTATAAACACCTCATTTTGCACTATGATGCATGTGTCTTCTTTGGGAAGTACTTTTTTAATATAAAAATGTTGAATAAAATCTTTGAAGATATTATATGAAACTCTTATTATTTTAATACTGGAATGCACATTTCTGTCAGCAAAGTAAACACCTCAAAATGTACCCTGTTTTCAGTTGAACCAAATTTTAGAACAAATGTTTCTTCTGAAGCCTGCCCTGCCCAATATTTTTTAAACAATTCTTTTTTTATCTCCCCTCCCTCCCACTTCCTTGTGAAAAAGAGACATTTGTCACTATTCAATGTCCATACATCTCTTACCTCTTTGGCCTTGTGGAAGTAACAAATAGAATTCTGTTTTGTTGCATCTGAAAAGATAAGTAGTGATTTGGGTGCTTTAATATCTGGGGAAAGATGCTGAGCAATGGAATAATTGACCTGTCAAGAATCAGGCATGATAGTCTCTAAAAGTCAGTAGCAAGGGGAATTAGGGGGAAAAAAAAGTTTTATTTATTTATTTATTTTTTCAGTGAGGTCCATTTAATAACAGCAACACTGTCAAGGAAGTGTTTTAATTTATATTGAGGTATCTGTTATTGTACTAGTATTATTGTGCAGATTAAGACTGACCTGTTAGATATTAGCATATGGGTAACATATTTATACTTCTACAAGCAAGCATGAAAATCACATTGATTAATATGATTTTGAAAACCTGTGTCTGGCATCAGAATTAAAGCAACTACTTTGTTCAGCACTACTACAGATAATAGGTAGGTTAATCTTCTGTCCCAAAGTCTTTCAGTATTCTTTGACCATAGATCATGCAGTCTGGGTTTCTTTTTTTTTTTTTTTTAATTTCACTATAACAGTTTTACCTAAATATCTGTTTTGCATTCCCACAAATCTTCAAGTTCTACACAGCCTATGCAGCTGGTTTCCACACAGGGAGCCACATTTAGTTGCTACACAGGGAGCCATATTTATTTCTGAACTTGGAGTAACAGTTCTTTCAATTGTCCTTTGCAAGTCCATGCTATAAGTTAGTTATTTTAACCACCAATAGTGTACATATCACCATGTCTGTTTTCTTCAATTTGTTCCATTTTTATAGCTCCTAGTGCCCCTCCACAATCTGTTACAGTTCTGACTGTTGGAAACCACAATAGCACCAGTATCAGTATTTCCTGGGATCCACCACCTCCAGATCACCAAAATGGAATCATTCAAGAATATAAGGTAAGAATAAAATGCAGGATGAAAAGAGCATCTAAAATGTTGTCCATTATTTCTTTAAATAATAATAAAAATTGTATTGCAGTATGAGTAATTCTAATATTCCTGTATTTCAGATACTTTTCCAGATAGCTCACTCACACGTTCTCACTCTCTCTCCTTTTTCTGGGGGCAGCCATTCCTTAAGACAAAGTAAGATGATCACACATTAGATGGTAGAATAGTTAAATTCAATTCCACCTTCCATCTGTGACCCACAGATATCATCTCAGAGGGTGGAGAACCAATTCCTCCCTCTGAAAGACTCTCCCCAGTATGAGAAATTAGATGAGTCAGAGCAATGAATTAATTCATTAAAAAAAAAATTAAATAATATTAAATAAATTCTATAATTTAGTCCTCAGGCAGGCAGAATAATGTGAGAGATGTTCTGTAGTTCAACCCTTGATTGTAACTGAACAGTAAATGTATCGGAAGCCCAAATCATTTCTGCTTTCTCAGTGTTTTGCGTGTGTGTGTGTTTTCAAATTTTAAAAATTCTGTATAAAAACTAGTTGTTATTGTGTGTGTCTGTGTATGTGTAGGTTGTAAAAGTGTAGAACCATATACATTAAGTCATTGACCATTTCAATATCTAAAGCAAAAAAGATGCATGTTTGCTATTATTTTGGCCCAAATCAAAATAGAGATTCAGCCAGTCTACCTGTGTTCTGTTCTTTAAGGGAAAAAAATACAAGGGAAATGCAATTTTTTTTTCCAACTCCACTCTAATCATTTTTAGTTACACAAACAAACAAACAAATAAATAAATCTCATTCTGACATTTTTGCACCAAAGCAAAAAAATCAAAAAGACGACAGGCAACACTCCTTCCTGCTTCTTAGTACTGGAAATTTTACCTACACAGAAGAAATAAAGGCCAGAAATAGAGAAACAGAAACTTTTTTGGAATCTCTTAACCAAATACATTATTTCATGGTGCTCTGTTGTAAAATTGTGCTATTTGTAGTGTAGGAAGGGAACATAAAATGTAAAGTCCCAGTGACCATAGAAAGTTGCAAAATATCTGGTCATCCTTACTAACAAAAGAAAGTAACAATCCTTGTGTTAAACCAGGAATTTCTACCTTTTTAGGGAACCTGGGAGTGTTTTTGCTAAATGGCTTTATAGATATAACCAGATACAAGATGTAGGAACTAAGTTAAGCAGTTTTTCCTACCAGTTGTCTCTCAGTATGCTTTCTGCCTAAGTCCCCAGCTTCAAGAAACAGGTATGTTAAATCCATTGTCTTCTGGTGTATCCAACAGTGCACGTTCAAATATATTTAACCACAATACAAATTAGCTTTATTGAATAAAGGGTAATAGACGTGTGTGTGTGTGTGTGTGTGTGTGTGTGTTGGGGTGTGGGTGCCTTCGAGTCAGTGTTGACTCCTGGTGTCTGCCTGGACAAGTCCCTGCAGTTTTCTTGGCAAGGTTTTTCAGAAGTGATTTGGCATTGCCTCCTTCCTAGGGCTGAGAGAAAGTGACTGGCTCAGTCTCACCCAGCTGTCTTATCTCCCAGTAGGTGTGGACTCACAATGAGGCATCTCTGCTATACAATATCAAGTGCACGTAGTCTATTAGAAGTAGATGATCTTGAAGCCTCCCAGCTGCCAAACTGTAGAGGCTTTATAGGTCAACCCTTTTTGAATTGTAGTGAGAAATAAGCAGACAACAAATGCAGTTCCTGTAGCAGAATGTTAGATGACTATAATGGCTCTCGCCGTCTCACCATTTTGTACTTGTTATTTCCAAATGGTATTCAGTACAGCCCCATGTAGACCAAATTACAATATTCAGCTACAAAATAATAAGGATCTATGTGACAATTGTTGGCACCTTCCCTCCAGGAAAAGCCACGATTGGCATACCAGCTGAAGCTGGACAAAGTTTCTCCTGGGCATAGCTATCACCTTGTAGCAGGAGCCAGGAGTCCAGGGGTATTCCCATGCCCAGATTCTTTCTGTCTTTAAAAAGGAGGAGGAGGAGGAGGGATGTAAGAACTAAAGAAAGGCTTTGATTAAAGCACTCCACTCAATACTCGTTTGTACTATGACTTATACTAGGATTAGGACATGTTAGGATTTATACAAGGTGCTTTTTATGTATTTTGTAAATTATAGCAGAGAAAGAAACTTGATTACTAAGCAGTTTCAGTAATGACAGCAAACATTACAATGTTTTTCTTGTATAAGGGCATTTTTGTGTTTCTTAACTTTGGAATGAGTAGTATCTTTAAAGATAGCAATATACATGTAAATGTTAAGAGTTATAACTACTGTACACTTCTGTTTTATTATTTATTTCCATTTGTGTTGAATTTTGAAAAAGGAGAGTGAAAAGAATTTTTTTTTTTTTTTTTTT